AGATTAAAATTAACATCCGATTGAACCAGTCCGAACCGGCTGAATCCCACCCCTAGTTATAGCAATAGTATCTTGCAAGTCTGAAAGTGCTTCCTTCCTGCCTTTACGTTGCAGAGAACTAGGGAGGGTCTCTTCTGAGACACTCTCATCCCTTCTGAGACTCCCTCATTTAGACTCAGATTTCTCTTGTCAGACTGTTGCTTATGTAGTGGCTCTTCCTCCTGTCTCCCAAGGTTGCTTTCACTACCTATTACAGTTTCCACTTATAGATTATATCATCCCTGCTTCTATTGTGTGCATTATACTGTGCATGGAGCCAGAGTTAGACTGGTGTGGAAAGACAATGTATAGAGAAGTCTTGGTCCATTTTGTCCTGGAAGTCAGAAGAATTGGAACACAGCAAGGCTGGTTATGTGTATTGGAAAATTATTGCTGATAACTTCCAGTTTAATTTGCATATAGGATGCATCCAGTATATACGACTATATCTATTTCCCAATTAGAGCAAGCACAAACAGCACTTAGTTCAGCTAGCAAAAATATAGCTTGATATTTAATTATTGAACTTCAGCAAACTTTAAAAAAAATAAACTGACAAAAGTAAAACAAAAGCTGGGAAAATCAGGGAGAGAAACATGAACAACGCCATAGTTTACAATATCTATGTCTATATCCATATTTATATGTCCCAGAACTTCTCAAAACCATTGGAAATACTGTAGATAATTAACATGTCCTAAAAGGAGGGCCCATTGGTTATTTTAGCCTTAATCCCTTTTAGATGTAATACTGTAGCTGTAGAAAGGGAGGTGGGAATTTTGATCTGGTGTTTATTCTACATCATGAAAGAATCAACATGGTGGATAGGAATGATTTATCCAATAATAGAAGTGTCTGTTCCCTAGAATTCATATCAATAATATTAGGGTACCTGCAAATGGCGCATGCGAAGATCTAACTGCTGTAATGGTGTTATCTCCATTTATATTTAAGACTTACCTTTTATATTTAAATTTTAAATTTGATCTGTGTTATTTACAAGGATTCAGAATCTTTAGGATTGAAGCAGCATATAAACCAAGTAGAACAAATTATTTCTGATGCTTTTCCTATGGAGTTTCTTATTAAGATGACCTATCTGAACCTATCAAAGACTTTATTTCCTTCATTTGTAGCTATAAATGATATTTGGTGATTTGTTCCTGAATTTTGAGGATGTACTGCTGGGCAGATCGAGAGATTGTCTAGCCCAGATCTCAGATGTTAGTCACAAATGATCAAGAGAGAATTCTTGTTTCAATATTCTAGATGTACTTTCTCAGACATTTGGAATCCATTGCAAGACTTTATTAAAATGTCTCTGTGATATTTCTTTAGTGATCATAGTTCAGAAATGCTTGGGGTGATTTCCTAAGTAGTAAACTCTAAAAAAAAACAAAAACCTTTGCAACTGTCTG